TCTGCTCATGGCTTTGTTGCTGCTGGGAGCTGGATGATCTTCCTCTGTGCATCGTGGGCCTTTGACGCTGTGCCTTCTCCATTCTTCCATCTGTTTAGACACACCTGCTGCTGAGGTCCTGGCATAACTTCTTCCTTTGGAAGGAGCTCCTTAATCCCTAGACCAGGGGTTCAGACACCCCAGATCCATTCCCATGCCACCCATCCACACAGTCCCCTGTACTCATCTGGAACTGACCAAAGCAAACACAAGCCCCGGGACACCTTGGTATAACTTTATTTATACCACACAGTTTGTGATATTTATATCAAACACTCCAGATGCCCGGGCCTAGCTTAGCACAGAAGGCATGTTCTTGCCAGTGGCAAAAAAACCCAATACAGCACGTTTGCTAATACTAACCATTTGATCGATCCAAGATGGCCGTTTAGGAACAGCTCAGGAATGCAGCTCCCAGTGAAAGCGCAGAGGAGGAGTGGACGCTGCATTTTTATTGCCCACAGACTAGGCAATTCCCAGGCAGAGGAGCTCCACAGGTCACCAGCGTGGCTGTTTGGGCCAGCTCGGCTGTGCTGGCCGGCACCGCTGCTTTGCCCCGCGTGGCTGCTTTGCCGGCGCCCCGGAGCGGTGGTTCTCTGTACAAAATACACTGGTCCGGGTGCCCCTTTGGCTGGTGATTGGAGCCATGGGAAGTCGCCCATTCGTCTGTTTAAAAAGGGGACTCAGCAGGGAACCAGGACAGTAGATTCCAGGGCAAAAAAAATGCCACGAATCTCAGTGCCGCTGTTTAAGCCAGCGCAGTGACTTGCCGCAGGGGAAAACGCTCAGACCCGGCACCTCTTCAACAGGTGACTGGAGCACCAACTTAAAAAAAAAAAAAAAGGCTCTGAGGCAGGGAGCCAGCTATCAGGCTCGGCTGGTCCCACCCCCACAAAAGAACAGCAATCAGAAACTCTCTGGATTGAGAGTTTCACAGCAAGCGCAGCTGAACCCGGGACAGTCCAGCTCTGGGGAGGAGCGTCCGCCATTACTGAGGCAGCCCACCACTATGGAGGTAGTCAGCCAATGCTGACGCAGCCCGCTGTTCCCAAGGCAACCTGCCATTGCTGAGGCAGCCCGCCAGTTGCCAAGGCAACCCACCACTTCAGAGAGACTCTGCATCAACAGAGGTGGGCCACCATTGCTGAGGCAGTTCTAACTACACCCATATAAACAGGACTGCAGGGAAGTTCACTTGGCAGCTGGGCGGAGTCCACAGCAGCTCAGCAAAGCCTCTACAGGCAGACAGTGACTAGGCTGCCTCCTTGCTGGGCAGGGCAGCTCTGAAGGAAAAAAAAAGAAGGCAGCAGCATAACAGAAACTCATAAATAAAGCCCTAAATGCCTGGGACAGAGCACCTGGGAACAAAAAGCAGTTTATGAGTTCTGCTGCAGCAGACCTAAATGTACCTGCCCAGCAGCTCTGAATGAACAACAACAGAGCTCACAGCTCACCATTTGAGCTCCTATAAAGAAGAGACCGTCTCCTCAAGCAGCTCCCTGACCCCTATATATCCAAAGAGACACCTCATAAAGGAGAGATCAGATTGACACTTGGCGGGTATCCTTCTGGGACAAAGATAGCAGAAGAAGAAAACTGGTAACAACCCTTACTGTTCAGCAGCTGCTGCAGGTGATTCCCAGGCAAGCAGGGCCTGGAGTGGACATCAGCAGACCTACAGCAGAGGGGCCAGACTGTCAGAAGGAAAACCAAGAAACAGAAATAACCTCATCAACAACAAACAGAACATCCACTCAGAGACCCAATCTGAAAGCCAGCAACTACAAAGACGACAGGTGGATAAATCCATAAAGATGGGAAGAAACCAGCGCAAAAAGGATGAATACACCCGACACCAGAACACCTCTTCTCCTAAAAGGGATCACAACTCCTCACCAGCAAGGGAACAAGGTTGGATGGAGAACGAGTGTGATGAAATGACAGAATCAGACTTCAGAAGGTGGGTAGTGAGAAATTCCTGTGCTCTAAAAGAACATGTTCTAACCCAATGCAAAGAAACTAAGTACCTTGAAAAAAGATTTGACAAAATGCTAACGAGAATGAACAAAATAGAAAGGAATATAAGTGAATTGATGGAGCTGAAAAACACAACATGAGAGATTTGTGAAGCATGCACAAGGATCAACAGCCAAATTGACCAAGCAGAAGAAAGGATATCAGAGGTCGAAGATCAACTCAATGAAATAAAATGGGAAGGCAAGACTGGAGAAAAAAGGGTAAAAAGGAATGAAAAAGTCTCCAAGAAATGTGGGACTATGTGAAAAGACCTAATCTACATTTGATAGGTGTACCTGAATGCGATGAAGAGAATGAATCCAAGCTGGAAAATACTCTTCAGGATATTATCCAGGAAAACTTCCCCAACCTAGCAAGGCAGGCCAATATTCAAGTCCAGGAAATACAGAGAACACCACAAAGATATTCGTCAAGAAGAGCAACCCCAAGGCACATAATCGTCAGATTCACCAGGGTTGAAATGAAGGAGAAAATACTAAGGGCAGCCAGACAGTAAGGTCGGGTTACCCACAAAGGGAAGCCCATCAGACTCATAGCAGATCTCTCAGCAGAAACCCTACAAGCCAGAAGAGAGTAGGGGCCAATATTCAACATCCTTAAAGAAAAGAACTTTTTTTTTTTTTTGGGATGGAGTTTCGCTCTTGTTACCCAGGCTGGAGTGCAATGGCGCGATCTCGGCTCACCGCAACCTCCGCCTCCTGGGTTCAGGCAATTCTCCTGCCTCAGCCTCCTGAGCAGCTGGGATTACAGGCACGCGCCACCATGCCCAGCTAATTTTTTGTATTTTTAGTAGAGACGGGGTTTCACCGTGTTGACCAGGATGGTCTCGATCTGTTGACCTCGTGATCCACCCGCCTCGGCTTCCCAAAGTGCTGGGATTACAGGCGTGAGCCACCGCACCTGGCCTAGAAAAGAACTTTCAACCCAGAATCTCCTATCCAGCCAAACTAAGCTTCATAAGTGAAGGAAAAATAAAATCCTTTGTGAACATGCAAGTACTCAGAGATTTTGTCACCACCAGGCCAGCTTTACAAGAGCTCCTGAAAGAGGCTCTACACATATAAAGGAACAACTAGTACCAGCCACCCCAAAAACATGCCAAATGGTAAAGAAAATAAACACAATGAAGAATCTGCGTCAACTAACGGGCAAAACAGCCAGCTAGCACCAAAATGGCAGGATCAAATTCACACATAACAATATTAACCCTAAATGTAAATGGACTAAATGCCCCAATCAAAAGACACAGACTGGCAAATTGGATAAAAAGCCAAAACCCATCAGTGTGCTGTATCCAGGAAACCCATCTCACATGCAAGGATACACAAAGGCTCAAAATAAAGGGATGGAGGAAGATTTACCAAGCAAATGGAGAGCAAAAAAAAGCAGGAGTTGCCATTCTCATCTCCGATAAATTAGACTTTAAAGCAACAAAGATCAAAAGAGACAAAGAAGGACATTACATAATGGCAAAAGGATCAATGCAACAAGAAGACCTAACGATCCTAAATATATACGCACCCAATACAGGAGCACCCAGATACATAAGGCAACTTCTTAATGACTTACAAAGAGAGTTAGACTCCCACACAATTATAGTGGGAGACTTTAACACCCCATTGTCAATATTAGACAGATCAACCAGACAGAAAATTAACAAGGATATCCAGGACTTGAACTCAGACCTGGACCAAACAAACCTAATAGACATTTACAGAACTCTCCACCCCAAATCCACAGAATATACATTATTCTCAGCACCACATCACTCCTACTCTAAAATTGACCACATAATTGGGAGTAAATCACTCCTCAGCAAATGCAAAAGAACGGAAATCGTAACAAACAGTCTCTCAGACCACAGTGCAATCAAGTTAGAACTCAGAATTCAGAAACTAACCCAGAACCGCACGGCTTCATGGAAACTGAACAACTTGCTCTTGAATGTTGACTGGATAAACAATGAAATGAAGACAGAAATAAAGATGTTCTTCGAAACCAACGAGAATGAAGGCACAACATACCAGAATCTCTGGGACACATTTAAAGCAGTCTCTAGAGGAAAATATATAGCAATAAGTGCCCACATGAGAAGCAAGGAGAGATCAAAAATTGACACCCTATCGTCAAAACTGAAAGAGCTAGAGGAGCAAGATCAAAAAAACTCAAAGTCTAGCAGAAGACAAGAAATAGCTAAGATCAGAGCAGAACTGAAGGAGATAGAGACACAAAAAACCCTTCAAAAAATCAATAAATCCAGGAGCTGGTTTTTTGAAAAGATCAACAAAATAGACAGACCACTAGCCAGATTAATAAAAAAGAAAAGAGAGAATAACCAAATAGATGCAATAAAAAACGATAAAGGGGATATCACCACAGATTCCACAGAAATTCAAACCATCATCAGAGATTATTACAAACAACTCTATGCACACAAACTAATAAACCTGGAAGAAATGGATAAATTCCTGGACACTTGCCTCCTCCCAAGCCTAAACCAGGAAGAAGCCGAAACCCTGAACAGACCCATAACAAGGTCTGAAGTTGAGGCAGCAATTAAGAGCTTACCACCCAAAAAAAGCCCAGGTCCAGACGGGTTCACAGCCGAATTCTACCAGACATACAAAGAGGAGCTGGTACCATTTCTTCTGAAACTATTCCAAACAATACAAAAAGAGGGAATTCTTCCCAAATCATTTTATGAGACCAACATCATCCTGATTCCAAAACCCGGCAGAGACTCAACAAGAAAAGAAAATTTCAGGCCAATATCCATGATGAACATAGATGCAAAAATCTTCAATAAAATACTGACAAGCCGATTGCAACAGCACATCAAAAAGCTTATCCACCATGATCAAGTAGGCTTCATCCCGGGGATGCAAGGCTGGTTCAACATACGCAAGTCTATAAACGTAATTCACCACATAAAGAGAACCAAAGACAAAAAACACATGATTATCTCAATTGATGCAGAGAAGGCCTTTGACAAAATTCAACAGTGCTTTATGCTAAAAAAAACCCTAAATAGGCTAGGTATTGACGGAACGTATCTCAAAATAATAAAAGCTATTTATGACAAACCAACAGCCAATATCATACTGAATGGGCAAAAACTGGAAGCATTCCCCTTGAAATGTGGCACTAGACAAGGATGCCCTCTCTCACCACTCCTATTCAATATAGTACTAGAAGTTCTAGCCAGAGCAATCAGGCAAGAAAAAGAAATAAAGGGTATTCAAATAGGAAAGGAGGAAGTCAAGTTGTCTCTATTTGCAGATGACATGATTGTATATCTAGAAGACCCCATCGTCTCAGCCCCAAATTTCCTGAAACTGATAAGCAAGTTCAGCAAAGTCTCAGGATACAAAATCAATGTGCAAAAATCACATGCATTCCTATACACCAATAACAGACTTAAAGAGAGCCAAATCAAGAACAAACTTCCATTCACAATTGCCACAAAGAGAATAAAATACCTAGGAATACAACTAACAAGGAACGTAAAGGACCTCTTCAAGGAGAACTACAAGCCACCACTCAACGAAATAAGAGAGGACACAAACAGATGGAGAAACATTCCATGTTCATGGTTAGGAAGAATCAATATTGTGAAAATGGCCATACTGCCCGAAGTAATTTAACAGATTCAATGCTATCCCCATCAAGCTACCAATGACCTTCTTCGCAGAACTGGAAAAAACCACCTTAAACTTCATATGGAACCAAAAGAGAGCCCACATAACCAAGTCAATTCTAAGCAAAAAGAACAAAGCGGGAGGCATCACACTACCGGACTTCAAACTATACTACAAGGCTACAGTAATCAAAACAGCATGGTACTGGTACCAAAACAGAGATATAGACCAATGGAACAGAACAGAGGTCTCGGAGGCAACGCAACATATCTACAACCATCTGATCTTTGATAAACCAGACAAAAACAAGCAATGGGGAAAGGATTCCCTGTTTAATAAATGGTGTTGGGAAAACTGGCTAGCCATGTGCAGAAAGCAGAAACTGGACCCCTTCCTGACACCTTACACTAAAATTAACTCCAGAGGGATTAAAGACTTAAACATAAGACCTAACATCATAAAAACCCTAGAAGAAAATCTAGGCAAAACCATTCAGGACATAGGTGTAGGCAAGGACTTCATGACCAAAACACCAAAAGCATTGACAACAAAAGCTAAAATAGACAAATGGGACCTAATCAAACTCCACAGCTTCTGCACAGCAAAAGAAACAGTCATTAGAGTGAACCGGCAACCAACAGAATGGGAAAAAATTTTTGCAGTTTACCCGTCTGACAAAGGGCTGATATCCAGAATTTAGAAAGAACTAAAACAGATTTACAAGAAAAAAAACTAACAAGCCCATTCAAAAGTGGGCAAAGGATATGAACAGATACTTTACAAAAGAAGACATACATGAGGCCAACAAACATATGAAAAAATGCTCATCATCACTGGTCATCAGATAAATGCAAATCAAAACAACATTGAGATACCATCTCACACCAGTTAGAATGGCTATCATTAAAAAATCTGGAGACAACAGATGCTGGAGAGGATGTGGAGAAATAGGAACACTTTTACACTATTGGTGGGAGTGTAAATTAGTTCAACCATTGTGGAAGACAGTGTGGCGATTCCTCAAGGACCTAGAAATAGAAATTCCATTTGACCCAGCAACCTCATTACTGGGTATATATCCAAAGGATTATAAATCGTTCTACTATAAGGACACGTGCACACGAATGTTCATTGCAGCACTGTTTACAATAGCAAAGACCTGGAACCAACCTAAGTGCCCATCGATGATAGACTGGACAGGGAAAACGTGGCACATATACACCATGGAATATTATGCAGCCATCAAAAACGATGAGTTTGTGTCCTTTGTAGGGACATGGATGAACCTGGAAACCATCATTCTCAGCAAACTGACAGAAGAGCAGAAGATCAAACACCGCATGTTCTCACTCATAGGTGGGTGTTGAACAATGAGGACACATGGACACAGGAAGGGGAGCACTAAACACTGGGGTTAGTTGGGGGGAAATAGGGGAGGGACGGTGGGGGGGTGGGGAGCTGGGGAGAGATAGCAAGGGGAGAGATGCCAGATGTAGGTGATGGGGAGGAAGGCAGCAAATCACACTGCCACGTGTGTACCTATGTAACAATCTTGCATGTTCTTCACATGTACCCCAAAACCTAAAATGCAATAAAATAAATAAATGGGAAAAAAATACTAACCATTTTAATTTAAATTAATAACATGTCTGGAAGACAAATACAGTTGATAGAAAATATAAAAACTTTACTGTACAAATTTTACATCGCATTCAAAGAAAGCAAGTGTGTGGTTTGTGGCCACAGAAGACGCTAGGTTTGCACACGCTGATGAGATCCTGGCTAACACTGCTGCACAGCACAAACTCCAACTGGCTTCACATTTACATGCCCGCCCTCCCCCCATGCCAAAGCCACACAGAATAGCACTGGCTGCCAGGGCTTGCCATTCCCCTCTGTGACCTCAAGAGGAAATGCTGTAAGGAGACAGAGGGTGTTTTGACTTGGCGACATGGAGAGATCAGCTTTGCTACACACTGCTCACAACTAACCCCAAGCTAGCTAGGATTCGAGACTTCGAGTTAGGCAGAAACCCAGGGGGCTGCGGCTCTGGTGGTTCAAGGCAGCAGGGCTTCAGAGGCGAGGCTGGAAACTGGGGGTGCCTTGGAGGGCCAAAGCTTGGGCTCCACTCTGAGACCCCAGTGGGGACTTCCGCAGCCCCTAAGAGCTCTCCCCAAGCCCTCCCAGCCTTCTCCATCCCCTTCACAGTTGGCTGTGATGGCTGAATTCACAGTATCTGTCATCCTTCGTGTTTCCAAGGCAGACGGAGAGAACACACAGAAGGGCAGGTGTGCCTTCCTAACCTCAGTTCACAGTCACTGAAATACAAGGGAAGCAGGGGGACCATCACGGGGTGGGGTGGGGTTCTTAAAAGACAGGCAGTACAGAGGTGGCAGGCTGAGAGCCAGAAGGCTGCCCCCAGTCCTCCAGTTCCACCTGTGGGGCCCAGTGGCTTCTGGGTTCCTGGAATATAACAGGGCCCCACCAGGTCATCAGTTCCTTAAGAGCAGGGACCATGACTGCTCCTATCTCTAGGTGCCCAGCACTTGCACAGGGCCAAGTGCACTGTAGTTGCTCAATGAGTGCTTCTTTAACTGTGATGCTCATGAGAAAAAGCAAAACCCTGACTGACTTTCTGGGGGCCTGCACATCCCACTGCGGCCTGGTGTCAGGGGTTGGGGAGGAACCGAGTCTGACTGGCTGAGCTGATGTCCAACTGTGGGGCTCACCAGGACATCCATCAGGCCTGCTCTCACCTGGACAAAGGGCACGGTTGCAATAGAAAGGTGGAAGGCTGGAGACACAGGTGATCCCTGGGAAGGGGCAGGCATGTGGTGGCCCAAAGGATGACAGGGCAAAATGAGCAGTCCCACCACAGCACAGAAGCCCGCACGGAGCCGAGTCCATGTGGTTCATGGCCACCCCTCAAGTGCTGGGAAGAGTGAAGACACTGATGGACAGGCACGCTGGCACTGCCATATAGCTGTGCCAAGGAGGGGCTGACCAAGGGGTGCCCGGCCTGGAGAGGAGGCAACTCCACAGCTTCCTGGCAGAGCAGCTCATCTTCCTGGCAGAGCAGCAGCACCAGGCTCTGGTGCTAGGGAAGGGGCTGGAGACTGGGGCTCTGGTAGGCGGGTCTAACTGCAAGGGGCGGGAGCCACCTCCCTCCCTTCCCAAGTCTGAGCTCAGAGCATGGTCACAGGTCCTGGGCCTGAATCTAATCTCATCTTCACTCCCAACCCTTTTCCTTTCTGGTTTTGGAGCCTAATGCAGCCTAACCTTCACTTAAGGGCTCCCTTGCCATCTGGAACTTTTCTCTGCAGGTGAGAGTTGCTAATGAAGACAAGTGTGGTGCTCTCACGTCAAAGACTTTTCCAAATCCAGCCCCTCCTGCTTCAAACGGACACAAGTAGAAGGCCTAGTGGTGCCAGAGAAGGCTCTGCAGATGGGGGCCAGCTAGCTGGGTCTACATGAAAGGGGTCATGGGCCACACACCGCCCATTTGAGCTCAGAGCGTGGACAGGGTAGTTGGTAATGGGCTAAGGGGTTTCAACAGGACTGACATGGAAGAGGTGGGAAATCCTAGAACCTTCTAGCATAACTGACAAAGGGTTTTACAGTGCCAGGGTCACCCTGTGGCTGGGAAGAGGGCTCAGGTACCTTTGCCATCTACTCCTTCTCCTGTCTTCCTCGTTCTCACCCATCCAGCCCTCGCGGTCAGATGTCAGTCAGGGACTGGGATGTATCGAAAAGCCAAGGTCCTGAGTCCCATCACCTTGGTGCCTGCTGGGGGCTTCATCAAAGACTCACATCTGTACAAGCTATGGGTGTTTCCTCACCTTGCAGCAGAAACCCTGGCTGGGAACCACCGGGTGAGTCCAGACATTTTCTGGATTCTGTTTCTATTTTTCCAACAGGAGAAGCCTGGATTACAGGGATGAGAAGGTGAACTCAAGCTCTCCAGGAGCTCCAGACTCCATAATCTAGCTCAGTTCCCAGCCAGGGTTTCCTCTGCAAGACAAGGAAGGGGCAGCATCCCTTTGAAAGGACAAGGGGAGAGGCCTAGAGAGAGTCCCCGATTCCCTCAATGGGCTCTTGGGTCAAAAAGCCGAGTCCAGGTCAGACCTTGTGGGCTCCCTGCCCCACCCCAAGAACAGCTGCAATCGCCATGTGTGTCTTCCCCTCTGGCCCAGCACGGGTCCCTCACCGCCTACGAGGTCCTCCAGAGGACACGGTCATTTCCGCCATCCTGGCCGTCGGTGCCAGCGCATCTATGCGTGGACTGTTTCTATTATTAATCTATTGTAATACATCAGGTTCACTCAGCAGACATATAGGTGTAAACATTTGCTGTCTGTCAGGACAGGTTTGGTTGTTGGTGGTATCATGTAAAGAAATAGCAGGTGCAGCTCCATCTCCCGAATGGGGTTTATTGCGAACAGTCTCAATCTAGGATACGTGCTCCTGGTTTGCAGCGCTGGGCAGGCAGTCTATTTTTTGTAGTGGTGGTTGTTTGGATGTTTCAGAAACGCATTTTAAAAAGAAAGAGATCGGCAGCAGAAAAACCACATGGCTGGCTACATCTTTGAATTACTGGACTCCAGGATGCCCAAGCCAAACCTTTCAACCCGGGGTACAACTTTGCTGCTGTTAATGCTGTGAAGAGGAACAAAAACAAGAATTATAGCCCCATGGGTCTTCAGCAGAATTAGGGTAACAATAGCTAGGAAGTGAGCTGAGCAGAGGATCTGGTTTCCAACAAGAAATGAAAATGATTGTTGGCCAATAGCGCTGGCAGAGCTGCCCTGGTCACACAGCATCCAAGGCCCTAGCCACAGTCCAGGTAGTTCTACCTGGAACAACGGTGGCTCTTTCAACTCCGAGTCCTGAGTTCCCAGCATGCTCAGTGCTGCTGTGGGCTCCTCGCAATCATTTTCTCATTTGCAGCCCAGGAAAGCTCTTGCTCCAAGGAGAACTGAGAGAGAAGAGAAACACGACCCCAGGATACTAGTGTTCCGTTTAGAAATCAACTCGAATAGTAGGGTGCATCAGGGCCACCTGGGAAGCAGGCTGAAATGCAGATTCCTGGAGCCCAATTCCAGAGATCTGGTTCAGCACGTTTTGCTGGGGAGGGAGGACAGGAACTTGCGTTTAGTAAACAGCGCAGTGACTGCCGCAGGGGATGTCAGCCACGCTCTTAAATGCTGACCTGGAGACTGGACTATGGCACACTGGGCAGGTGTAAAGGGAATAACTTTGCCAGGGTGGCAGGGTGGGGACGGGTGACTTTGTTTTCGTACGAAACATTTCTGGAGCCAGATACCTCTTTAAGACAGGTTTTCTGAGGGTGCCACTGAAGACACAACCCTTCCGAGCTGGTGTCTTTCATGGCCACAGAACTTTCTGCGTCTTCTGATGCAACTCTACAGGTGGCACTGAGAGGTGGGAGCCCAGCAGAGGGTTCCACCAGAGCAGCTCTGAAATCACTCCATTCCTTATTGGACAAAATCCCCATGGGTTAAAAGCTAAGCCAACATCCTCCCCACCTCCACCCGCCCCACACTAGGCACACACTCAGTGCTCAGAGGCTGGTATGCTCAAGGGCGTGGAAGCATCTCACTAAGGTGTTAGCAGTAAGACAGGGCCACCCAAACAAAAACAAAACCAGCCCTCAGAAGAACACGGGAGCAATCAAAGTCACGTCCGGGAAGGTAGTTAGAAGCTGCCCAGACCGCCTGGGAGGGAGCTCAGTTAGTGGGATCCTCTGAGAAGTTACTCAAGCATATGCAGGCCACGTGGAGGGGGCAGAGGGCCAGTTTTAAAAACAAAGCAAAAGAAGTAGGCTCGAGAGAGACAACTGGAGAAGCAGAGGTGGCATCCCCTGGGTTAGTGCCCGCATCTCATTGTGCATTTTAGCAGAGGTCACGATGCCGAGTTGTTGATTAGGAGGAAGAAAGCCCCTGGTGCATGCAAGGCAGCCAGGCCTACAACCTATGGAGGGAAAGAGAAGAAAGCAAAGAACAGTGTCAGAACCACAGCCTCATGCGGAGCCTGTTGGGAGCTACAGGCCTGGCCAGAGCAGCTGGACGTGGGACTCCATTTCCCTTCTAGAGAGAAGGGTCATCCCGGATTCTATTCCCCAGGCGTGGCTGCACTGTAACCTCAGAAGGGATCATGGGCACAAAGAACCCTCTCTAAGCTCCTGCAGGGCACAATCGCAGCACGTTTATAAAGAGGCTGGCCCAGGCCCATGGCTCCTTAGCCCTTGATGAGCAAAATCTACTTCCAGGAGTAATTCTGCTTCACTGGATTCTCTTCTCTTGAGCTCTGGCCAGGGTGACTGAGACCCTGGGGATTCAGATCAATGACCCAAGTTCTCTCTGACCCAGGGACAAGCCATCCATCTACTCGTGGTGTGGACAGAGGCCCCAGCCACATGCTGTGGCTCTTCTCTCACCCAGTGAAAAATGCCAGCCTGCATAACCCTTGCTGGTGGCCATTTCAGCTGCAGAAACCTCACTTTGGTTTTCGAGAATAAACGACACAAAGATGGGAGAAGCTGGGAAGCAGCGACAGAAAGGAAGCGGGGTTTGTGTCAGGACAACCAGAGACAGGCAGCCAGCGAGGGAAGGAACACACTATTCCTCCAGAACCGGACAGGAGCTCTAAAAGTCAGGGTGGCCGTAACGTCCTTTTCCATAGTAGCGGCTCCTCCAGCGGCTGGGAGTGCCCAGCGACCGTTCCGCCAGGCGTGAGAAGAGCGCAGTCCGGCCCCGGCAGGCGATGGAGTCGGACATGTGTGGACAGGTGGAGGAATCAGATGATGGGAAAGGGGGAGATGACAGAACAGCACATCCGCCACCCCCCCAAAATAAAAAAGTGACAAGGTCAATGGAAAGAAAAGAGAAAGTGAGAATTAGGGGCCAAGTGTGTAGAAAGTGAGCACTGAACAGGAAGCCTGACACAGACTCATTCAGGAAAGGAAAACTCGCATGCTTTCCTTGAAGGGGCTGGGCAGGGAACAGCCCATCTGTGACTTAGTTTCCTGCCTGTGAAATGAGAAGGTGGGAATGTATGATTTCCAGGGAATCTGGAATGATGCCCTGAATGCCAGTGTCTATCTAATGGAGCCTTTTCTTTTGTTGGGGAGAAAACCAGGGCCCAGCTTGTTAAGCAAGTTGCCTGAGGTGTGATCGGGGCTTGGCCTCACCACCTCACATCACCCTCCCTGAACCGCTAAGCGCCCCATGCTCCTGGTCTCTGCTGGGATAGTTCTGGCTCAAAACCCAGCCCTGACGACGCTTCTTCCAGAGACTCTTCCTCATGCCCCCCAGATGGATGCAGAGGCCCCGTCTGGGCTTTATCACAGCACCCAGCATGTTATCACCCTTTGCCCATTCATTCATGCAAGTCAAATATTTAGTGACCAGCTATAATGTTCCTGGGATTGTACCAGGAGCCAGGAACATAAAGGTGATAAGAAAGAGTCCTGATGTGTGCAGGTTTCATTTCAGTGCGTGTCTGTCTTTATGACACTGGAAACTCTTCGCTGGTGGAGCCATGGCCTTGGCCACCTGTGTTTCCCCAGGTGTGCGGCAGATGCACAGCAATGGCTGCCTAAGACGTACACTTCTGTGGTTATGATCCACTACCCCCCATTTGTACTGGACTCCAACCCATCCTAAGTACAAAATACTAAACCCAGTATTACATGAAATATGGTATTCCCCGACCCCACACTGTCATTTCCTCCAGACCATCCCTCTACCTGGCCTGAATCAGTGAAGCACCAAGCATTTCTTTAGTGACTTCTCCTGCAGGAGAGAAAACTCATGCTGGGCCTCTCCTCAAGTGTAGCTGGAGGCTCACTTTGGCTCAAACCTGTAATCCCAGCATTCTGGGAGGCCAAGGCAGGCAGATCAGTTGAGGTGAGGAGTTTGAGATCACCCTGGCCAACATGGTGAAAACCCATCTCCACCAAAAAAAAAAAAAAAAAAAAAAAACCCCAAAAAAATTAGCCAGGGGTGGTAGCGTGCACCTGTAATCCCAGCTACTTGGGAGGCTGAGGCAGGAGAATCGCTTGAACCCAGGAGGCAGACGTTGCAGTGAGCCAAGATCGTGCCACTGTACTCCAGCCTGAGTGACAGAGTGAGACTCTCTCAAAAGACTCGCCCTGGAAAACAATGTGCAAACCAAATCTGGCCACACACTAAGAAAGTTTCTGAGTACTTTAAAGGGTTAAAAAATAGTAACAAATAACATGTGACAGAGACTGTGTCACTGCAAGCCCAAAATATTTACTACCTGACCCTTCCCAGGATAAGACATGTGCACAAGGACGGGAGCTTCAGGGGCTTCCTTGGCAGTGGGTGGCAGACAGGCTCTTCCCGTCACTCCCATCAAAAACAGCTCCACTTTATGGGTTTTATATAGTGGGGTTCTGTGGGAGACTTCACTTTTAGAAAGTGTCCTTTTCCTTAAAGTCTCAAACTGGTCAGGCCAGTGGCTCACACCTGTAATCCTAGCACCTTGGGAGGCTGAGGCAGGAGAATCACTTGAGCTCAGAAGTTTGAAACCAGCCTGGGCAACATAGTGAGACCTCATCTCTGTGTATATAAAAACATTTTTAAGAAAAGTTTTTCAGAAAGGTAAAACTATTCTTGGTTTGCAGAGTGTACGAACATAGGTAGCAGGCCATACTTGACCTACAGGCTGGACTCCTGGGTGAGATGAATCGTTTCACTTTCTATATGATTGGGGTCAAAAATACCAAAAGATGACTATTTCATGACATGTGAAATCCCAATTTCCAGCATTAAGTTTTACTGACATGCAGCCAGCTCCCTGGTTTACGCTGTCTGTGGCTGCTCCCGTGCTGCAACAGCAGAGCTGAGATGCTGTGACACAGACAGTGCTCGGCACCCTGCCAAAGCCAGCTCCTGCAGTGAGGACCTGATTTGCCTTCTTGGCCTGCAATGTCTCAAATATTCACCTGGCCCCTTACAGCAAGTTTACCTGCCCTATACCTGACCCAACTCCTAGCCCAGAGACTTTTTAAGCCACGAAAACTGAGGCCCAGAGCATAAAAGGACTTCCCAGGTTCTCACAGAGCATTCATGGCAGGGCAGAGGTCTCCTCTGAGTGTTCTAACAGAGGCAGCCAGAGGACAAAGGAAAAAGGGAATGAGACAGAAGGCAGGAGAGATGACAATGGCCTGTAACCTGGTGGATATCACCCCCACACCAAGGAGTGCAAAGGGCTGTGCATTAAACCAGGAGGGGGAGAGCTTCCAGCATCAAAGTACCACATAAACCCAAGTGACTGTGGTCGCCATAAGACATGGCTGGCTTCTAGTGCTTCAGTTGGTGACACTGTAAGCAATATTGGCTCTGTTTATTTCAGTGATGCTTACAATATGTCACTCTGACTTCTAACTGGCCCCATCTTGCCACTCCCTCGTAGAAACTTCTAGTCCTGGCCTGGCCTGGCATCAGTGCTGGTGTGCTAATAATGGTGATGCAGTTTCTCATAGCTGCAAACTGGAGGTGCTCACCTGTCAAAGGGAGTCTCCAAAATAAATGTGGTAAATGAAATCCTGGTATCACTCTGGCTAATCTGCTTTGTGTATTCCTAAAGTCCTGGGCAGAGGCTGGGCATGGTGGTTCACACCTGTAATCCCAGCACTTTGGGAGGCCGAGGCAGGCAGATCACTTGAGATCAGGAGTTTGAGATGAGCCTGGGGAATATGGTGAAACCCTGTTTCTACTAAAAATATAAAAACAGCCAGGTGTGGTGGCGCACACCTATAGTCCCAGCCCCTCGGGAGGCTGAGGTAGGAGAACTGCTTGAACCTAGGAGGCAGAGGTTGCAGTGAGCCAAGATCGTGCCACTACACTCCAGCCTGGTGACAGAGCAAGACTCCGTCTCAAAAAACCCCCCAAAAGAAAGTCTTGGGTAGAAAGAGCAGAAGGAGCCCTCTAAGATCCCAGGTGAAGCTGTGAGGGCCTGGCTGGCAGAATCTGGCTCGTGTGGGAGGCACTTACTCAGCTGACTTCCAGAAGTGCCTAGGGTGGGAGAGCCTCCGGTTCAGCTTGGGAAGTTTCTCCAGCATGTCCATCAGCAGGCTGAAGCTGGGTCTCTCCTGCAGGTTAAAAGCCCAGCAGGCTGACAGGATCTCCTGCAAATGGAGCTGCCGTCGTGGTGTATGAGCTGGCTGGGAGGGAGGGGGCACACATAGGGGCTCCACGAAGTGTCCCTTTGACGTTCTCAAGTACCTCTAGCTGGCAGCGCCCCAAACACCCTGCCGACATGAAGGGCTGAGAAGTACCTGGGTTTCAGAGAAGCACTCATGCTTCTGGCTCCATGTGAGATGCACGAGATTACCTCCCCTCCTTCCTTCTTAGATCCACGCCCACCCCAAAATAACAGTAACCATGATGAACAGACTAGCAATGGGAAAGAGATCAGAAAAGGGATTGTTGGTTTTCTGAAGATGCAAAGTGCAAGGTACAATGTTCACAGGTAAAATGCAAGATACTGGGAATATGTGCAGGGCGGGGCTGCAGTGGAGGAGGGAGCCTCAGCATTAGTGGAACGGCGGCTGGAGTGACAAGGAGGACTCAGTATAAGGGCAGCAGCTGAGAGTCAGCAGAACAGCTGTCCCAATTGCCCCCAGAGCAGAGCCCTTCTGACTGCGGCACTGTGCTGCCTGCTCTCAGGATCCATGCGTGTGCCAGCACAGCCCTGCAGCCTGCTGATTCAGAACTGCCTGTGAGGAAAGGCCTATTCCCTGCACATATGACCAGGCAGAATACATACACCCACACAGACTCAGCAACTCAGGCTTTTGCTCTTAAATACTAGACTCCATGGGGTTGCCTGCCTATCATGAAAACCAGACAGAGATCAAAGATAAGCAGATCAAGAAACTATCTCTGAAGGATATGGGGTGTGCATGTGCGTTTGTGTGAGGCAGCTACTGTATACATAAAACAAGAGCAGCCTGCAATAAAAAAGAAATCAACAAAGAAAGAAGTGCTTGAAATTAAAAATACAATTTCTGAATGGAAACATTAAAAGTGCTGGATGATAAAAATCAAGGAAATTCCCCAGATTGTGGGCTCAATTCTAGATAGGAACAGAAAATACAAAAGAAGGCAAGAAGAATGTAGGCTCACTAAGAGGAACCAAATTCTGTCTAATGGGGATTTCCACAAAAGTAAACAGACTATTGGGCAGGAAATTATCAAAGAAATAATAAAAGAAAATTTATACTAGAAACTTTCAAAAGTAGCATGTGTCTTCAGCTGAAAAGTTCCAATAAAGGGACCTCACTTTTTGAAAAAAGTAAAAAAATTAAAAACTCTATACTCAGACATAATTTTATGAAATTTTCTCTATAGCAGGGATAAACCAAAAATCCTAGATGCTTCCAGAAAGAATAAGATAAGCATCCACAAAAGGCTGAGAATCAGACCAACACCAGAATTCTCAACAAGACCTTGGACACTTAGTAGACAGCAAGGCAAAACCCCTGTGTTTTCAGGGAAAATTATTATAAACCTGGAATTCTACTCCTGATGTGAGGACAAAATAATAATTTTTTTTAGGCATGCAAGGATTCAAAGAGTATCTCCCATTCTTCCACTGGGAGGCAGTTTCTTCAGGTTTCACTCGAAGTTTGTTTGCTAGAGCGCAAATTAAGAGAGGGGAAGGAATAAGACATAAGAGTGCAATTGACCCAGGAGTAAATGAAAAGAAAACAGAAGGGTAACAGCTGGGTAACAGGCCTAACATCCCATTGATTCAAATGACAAGAAACCAGTGGGCTCTGAAAAGAATGAAACAAATTCCATTCAAGAAGCAGAATGCAGAAGAAGCTGAAAGACCTCAGGAATATGAGAAAGGTGTTTGTTTCTTTTTCCAGCAATAAGAAAAGGCAAAAAGAAGAAAAAAAAAAGGCAATTAGAAACTACAGGAAAAACCTAAATTGCTGTGGTCCAAATGTGAAGCCAACAAAATGGTAAGCCTTTAAGCGATTGATGAAGAAGAAGAGATGGACCCACAAAGAAGAAAACGTAATCCCAGTGAACTACCTGACCCCTGGCTAATAGCACTTGCAGTCTATTATAACAGTGTACACACTGTTCATTATCTTCTCACTTTTAGCCTCCATCAATAGGCACAGCATGGAAGATTTAATCATGGCAACCTTAACAATAAATAATGTGAAAGCTGAGCAAAGTAGTCCAGCAGAAAGGAGAGAGTGACAAGAGAGTGAAAAGCTGATAGACCGAGGTGATGCCTTTGGCGAATGACCTAGGGTGAGGGACTACTGGTTTTCACTAAGAACCCTCTGGTCTTTTGATGTCTTCCCAAGTGCATGGACCCTTAGATACAATGACTAGTAACTCACTGGCTGCCTCAGAATATAAAGCAGTACCCAGTGGTGAACTATACAGCAGCGTGGCTGGAGAGACAGAGAAAGGCGCCACTCAGAGGGCACTTCCAGCTTTTGTCTATGATAAAAAAGTCACTTTATTGCATGGACCAGTGTTCCCCTACCCCTAATAGTAATGTGTTAAGAAGGGAAGGCAAGACAGACAAAAGAAAGGGAACTCCCGTGAGCCACGAGCTAGCTGCCGGAGCATCTGCTCTGTCCCCACTCCCCACGGCCCAACCCCAATCTGGTCTCAAAGCAACCATCACTCCGCACTAAAAGAAATCCTTCTAATTACTTCAGAACTCTGGCTGTGCTCTAGAACGATCTGAGGAGCTCTATTTAAAAATAAAAAAACCCTATGATCTTATTCCCATCCCAGGCCAATAAAATTGGCACCTCTATGGGAGGGACCCCGACCCTGGCATTTTTATCAAACTCCCAGATGATTCCAACCAGCAGCCAGTGCCGAGCCCTGACGCCCTCGCAGCCCTCAGCTCAGCTCTGCTCCAGCCTTTGCCTCCCTGACGATAGCACTCACCATTCTCTACTCCAAGATGCTGAGGGTGCAGGAAGGAAACAAACTGCGGCCAGGAGGGCAGAAGGAAGAAGCTCCTTTCTTCCAGACACAACAAACATACATAACACTCTGCTTTATACAAAAATGTCCTTGCCAACTCTATTGTAAAGAGAGGTGAAAAGTGGAAAGAATCTCCATGTCCAGTGATAGAAGCAGTTACATTTCGGCGTGGCCGTAGGACAGTATGGCAGACAGCCTTAACGATAGGGATTTGCTAATGATTTGAGATAATGAGCATAATAAAATGTCAAGTGGAAAAAGTCACAACAAAAACAATCAGCTAGATGTTATGACATTTATGTCTTAAATTTTTTTAAAGAAGACTAGGCTGGGTACAGTGGCTCATGCCTGTAATCCCAGCACTTTGGGAGGTCAAGGTGGATGGATCACTTGAGGCCAGGAGTTCGAGACCAGCCTGGCCCACACAGTGAAACCCCATCTCTACTAAAAATACAAAAATTAGCAGAGTGTTTTGGTGCATGCTTGTAATCCCAGCTACTTGGAGGCTGAGGTGGGAGGATCACTTGAACCCAGAGCCTGGGTGACAGAGCAAGACTGTCTCAAAAAAAATTTAAAAAGACTGGAAGGCAGTGGCTACTTCAGCTGCCATCTGCACTGCTCCAGAGCCTAGCCAAGGAGGCTACAGCCACAGCCAGGAGCCCAAAACCTGTATCTTGAGCCCACTGGCAGTTGCAGGAGGCAGATAAAGAAGGGTCCCCGGAGAACCTCCGTCCGCCCCACAAGTGTTTACAGCAGATATTTTTGGGCAGATGAGGAAACCTGCACAGGGTCTTGCCTGGGTACACCCGTAACAGGCTGGAGACCCATATGCACTGGGGGAATGGGGTGGAGCCACCTGGAATTCGGGTCTATGCAGGGGGAGGAGCCTGGCCTCTTCAGCTCACGTGTGGTGGCCTGGTATTCAATCTGTGAGGCGGGGACCTGTTGGGAGGACCCCCTTTTTTTGGCTGAGAGCGTTCTTTTAATGAATTCTGCCCTCCTCACCTTTCCATGTGTCCGCGTGCCTAATATTTCCTGATCATGAGACAAGAACCCGGATTTTAGCTGAGCTAAAAAGCAAAAAATCCCGCATCACCACCACACCTTCCTAAGGTGCCCAAGGATGCACTGAGGTGCAGGTGGTGTCAACTGGCCCTGGGCCGAGAGTGTCAGGGAGGGGCTCATCACCCAAGCCCCTTGCCCAGTGCCCCAGAGGAAATGGATCAACTGGCCAAAGAGGAGCCTGCTGTTAGCACTGTTATCTAGTATTTTCGTGTCATCTTTGGAGGCGCATACCTGTACAAATATTTTGCACTTCAACAAGATGACATATACTACTGTGGAATAAAGTAGATCAAATATGTCATCTTGAGTGAGCCCTCTGAAGACGCCCTAGCTGCTTGCCACCCATCAACTGAGAAAAATATTTCTTTAATATATTTTTAAAATATTCTTTAAAAATATTTCTTAAATAAATCTATTAAGATCTTGGAGGAAGATGAAATTGAATTCATCACTGTGGATTTGCAGGCAGTGATCCTGCCAGCATTGCTCATGACCTGAACAAGAAGCTCACAGCCTATTCAGTTCTTAGCCTGGACAAGTGCTGGGCGGGCCCTGGGAAGACTTCGATTGCTATGCTGCCCGGATACTGACTGCAGCTGCTTATTAACATCAAGGCTGTTTTGCCCCAATCCTATCTGATTCATGGACACATGGCTATCACCGATGCACTGAAAACATCCAGCCCTGGAGTTTCTTTATACATCACTGCACCATGACAAAGGGAACTGAAAGTTGTCTGAATCAAAATAGAGTCACTAATGTGAAGAAAACGCCGACAAATCAGGCCTGGGAAAGCCCTGAAGAGAGGCTTCTTGTGCTTGTATGTCTGATAAAAACAATCCCTAGACTCCGAAACCTGCAACCTTGTATGAAGGCCACTGCGACCATATACAAAAAAATACTCCTACAAGGACATCTGCCCAAATAGCCTGTCTGACCTTGGACTGACGTCACCCTTGTGATCTTTGTAGCCAGGGACAATTATTAAATATTTCAAAACAATTACATAATCCTCTTCACTTTTCCCTTTGCCTCCCGGAATAAGCCATTTACCATGGCACGCATATTCCCAGTGCAGTGCTCTAGTTCCAAATAAACATCTTTTGAGAGCCTCCGTCTCTTATTTAGCCTGACAAAACTTACAAACACAGAGATACCATTAAGAAGAAGCCATGCAGAAACGAGAAGTCAGCAACCACAATTAAGACTCGGTTTTTTGGAAACAAGTTTGCTGCGGAAACTTCGATTTGTTCTTAACAGTCAAGAAAAACATTATGGGGAAAGATTTAATACCATAGTGTAACACAACTATTTGTAGTTTGAGCAGTGATTTAAAAAAGAAAAAAAATCGGCCTTCCTTCATGTAAATAACATGGGGCTGTTTCAGGTATAACTGTAAGGCTGGATGTGGAGAAATAAAAAAACAAATAACATGGGGCTTTACTTTCTTTTCATCTTATAAATCAATGAAAATCATTATCTTTAAGGAAAAGATAAAACACTGAAAGGAATGAAAACGGTGATGGTGGGTGTGGATGGATATTTTCTTATTTACGCCTCCCTGTTCCTTCCCATCCCCAGCAGTGCGTGTCGTTGTCATCTCTAGCTAGACACCTGCAGGGGGCAGAGCCCCGCACCGACCCCACTTCTCAGGTGGGTAAATGAAGGGCGGCCATGCCACGCACCCCACCCTACCCCCAATCCTACTGCCCCTCCCAGGCAGGGGCTACTCACACTGACTTCCTTCCCCAGGCTGACAGAGGCCAGGACACGCTTCATTCCTTCCCCGCTTCCAATCTGCCAGATGGATGCCTCTGCAGCTTGGTTCTTCAAGGGCCAGTCTCGTGCTTGCAGCTCATACCAGACAGTCCTGTGGAGACCCAGCCATGGCCGTGAGTTCTGGGGCCGCTCTGCCCAGCTCACACACAGGGGCTCTTGCAGCCATCACCCAGCCAGAGGATCAGGACCCCTCTCCAACCTTCCTCACTCATTTGGCTTCAGGGGATGCAACGATGGCCTCCTGGAGGCTCCTCCCAGCCTTGGAGGACCTGGGCCCTGTGCTGTCATGGGGTGGCAAGTCTGAGACAGCACAGGCTTGACCGGAGCATGGGTGGTCATTCCGACCTCAGCACAAACCCAGCTCTGCCACTTTCTACTGGCTCCTGGTAAAACGGCTTCACCTCAGTGGGGCTGATGCCTCAGCCCCTTGTCACAGGGTGGTTTGAGGAGTACTGAAGTGCCAAGCCCAGCACCTGGCACACATGGGTGCTCAGGAAAGGATACAGTTAAAGTTCAGGGAAGAAGGATGGCGCCAAGGTCACCCCACTGGGAAGAACACCCAGAGACAGCACAGGAGACTGGGGTGGTGAGTCTTGCTTGGCTTCTCCACATTCCCTTGGCTTTCTCGACTTAGGACAGGACTGTCTCCATCAGATCCACACTGTCCAATGGGGGAACCTCTTGCCACAGGGGGCTATTGGCTGGCTGAAATGTACACAGTTGAATGGAGGGGTAATCTGGGCAGTAAACAAAGACCAGATTCTTAGTAGGAAAAAAGAACATAAAATATCGTATTAATTTGTATGTTGATTACATGTTGAAATAATATTTTGGATATGCTGAGTTAAATAAAATATATCATTTTATAATATATAAAATATAAACAGGGGAAACTAATTTCACCCATCTCTTTTTTTAATGTGGCTATTAGAAAACTTTAGCTTCTATACTGGGCTCATATTACATTGCTACTGGTCAGCACCCAGCTCTCTGTGGGGTACCAGAGCCTGGCTGGCAGGACGCCCACCTCCCCCAGCCTGGAAGGGACAGTTCTCTGTCAGCTCTAGTGAGCATCCTTGCAGATTGGCTGCGTGGGGCTGACGGCCAGTGTTAAGCACAGAACACAATGACCTATGTTAGTCCTCAGGAAATGACCTTGTGTGGAGGAGCTATTTTCTCTCCGTATCTTACTCATGGGGAGGCAGAAGGTCAAGGATGTGGTCACGCACCCAGCAAGTGGCAGAGCCAAGACTCAAGACCAGGTGGAGTTTTACTCCAAAGTCTGGGTTTTCAACACCTAAAAGCCCGCCTCCCTCTGCCACAGATGGCCACCAGGGCCCTACTCACCCAAATGCATAGATGTCAGCAGCTTTGGAGAATGGCAGCTGATCCTCATCCTTCCCAGGGGTCATCTCATGCACGATCTCAGGGGCCAGATAGCACAGCCAGTCGTGGGACAGCTTCAGCTGGTTCTCACGCCTGGAGACCAGGAAGCCAGGGCAGGGACACAGGCCTTTCAGCAGGCAGCCAAGAGGGCTGCCTGGCTCAGGTCTGTCCCAGGGCCGGCAGAGCACCCACACACAGCTTAGAGAACACACATAGAGCCAACACGCTGACCCCGCACTTGGGAAAGGCATCTGTGCTTTTGAGGAATTCTACAAATGAGCCATGACCGGGTGTTTCTAGAAAAGTGGGGCAAGAACGGATACATATTGACAGGGAGGAGCCTCTGAAGGTACCCAGCTCTCTTTGCTAGGAGAATGGGGTGCTTCTGTAATCAGGAACCCCGATCTGCCTGTGGATCTCAAACCTGCCTGGGACTGGTCCTGCAGCCTCACTGCCACACTCCCTTTCAGGGTTCCCAGGATGCCAGGGGAGGGTCCTTTCTCCCCACCCAACCCCTTCAAGATTTGGGGAAATAAAATGACGCTCTTCCTCATCGTGGGGAAATAAATCCTGGGTCCTTGGCCAAGCTGGTGAACAGCCAGGGCAAATATGAGTGTGGTGATCTGGTCTCCAGGAAGTCAACCTGAGAATCCAAACATGACCCAAATCTGATTCTGAACCAGAACTACAAGGGCAGGACCAAAGCGACCTGAACTTCCCTGCAGGGACAACTGCAGCTCAGCAACAAACAGTAAAGGGCCAGACCCCAGGCCCGCCCTTCCCCACCCAGCATCCCCGTCCCACCCAGATACCCAAGACCCACTCACCGTCCCTCTCGGACCACGCCTGAGATCCCGAACAGCCCGAAGCCTGTGATGACCACCTTGCCGTTGTCATAGAAGACGTTCTTGGATTTGAGGTCTTTGTGTACGATGCCCTTGGCATGAAGATACCCCATGCCCTGGAGGACGGCGAGCCCCAGATCGGCGGGAGTGAAGATGCTCAGTGACGACGGAGCTGCCACCCTGGGCTGGATGCTCTACCCAAACCCCCTCATTTGATCTTCACCATTCCATGCAGTATACTGTCCCCATTTTACAGAATACATCGAGGTTCAGAGAGGGAAAGTCACTTGCCCCAAGGCACACAGCAGTGAAGGAGCAGAGCTGAGATCTGACCCCAGATGGGTCCATGCTCTTTTAATGTTACCATGCTTCCAAATAGCCACCTTAATCTTGGAAAAGGTAGGGGGTATGAACAGGGTGAAGGGCGGGGAGCCAGGGGAGTAGGAACAGTGAGATTATCTGTGTTAAGTCATAAAGGGCCTAAATGAGCTGGGGTTTTCTGTCAGGATATGCATCACTGGTCTCCACTCTCAGGCAGGGCCAGGGCTCAGGGCAGGGGAACAGAGAGGCATTCCCACAGAGGGGTTCCCAACTTGGGATGTTCCTAATATCTGAGCTGTAGAAGGAGCCCTGGACTAAAACTGAAATCTGGGGTTTGAATTCCATCTCAGCTCAGAGTCTCGCTCATGGACACAGAGCTCAACTCCTCTGAAGCCTGGTTTTCTCATCTGCCAAGTGAAAGGTGGCAGTGGGTGATTTCTAACTAATGCTCTATTTTAACTGAGCACTGACGAGGCAGGTACATGGAACGTGGGTGACCTGACACAGGCATGATCTCAATCAAGGTCAAGCTTCCTCAAACACCAGACCCAGGGCTCCTGTGCACCCCAATGCATAGATTATTGCATTTTCAACCTAACACCAATCCAGAGAGGGAGGCTATATGAGAACTCCCGTTTTACAGGAGAGAAAACTGAGGCTCAGAGAGGCTGAACAACCTGCCCAGACTCACACAGCGGGTGTGACCTGGATTGAAACTGTCTCTAAAGCCTGCCGAGTTCCTTCCCAAACAAGTCAATTCCATCAAGGCTAATCATGTAGATGGTCAGCTCCCAGCTGTGAGCGAATGAGAGACAGGGAGGAGGAGACAGGGTCCCACCCTTGAGGAGCCTGAGCTAGAGGCAGAGGCAAAGCTGCCAAACCAACTTGATGGGGGCTGACAGAGCGGGAGAACAGCCAAGAGGCCTGGAACTGGCCAGAAACCCACCCCTCAACAGCAGACACCCCCTCACCTTGATGATCTCCTGAGCGATCTGCCTCGTCTTGTTGATGTCCAGAGACGTCTTGGGGTCCCTCACAAACGAGTGCAATGTTCGCCCCTTGCAGAAGCTGTTGAGGGTGGTGGTGGGTCAAGCACGGGTCCCGGGCTGGTGCAGCCTGACCCTGTCCCTGGTGGAGCGCATGGGGAGAACTGTGCCTGCCTGCCTGCCTGCCTGCCTGCAAGGACTCTCTCCACCCCCTCAGCTGTGAGCCAAATCTTTAACCCAGCCAATGGCTGCTGGGGTCTGGCCTGAACATGCAGAAACACACATGATGCCATGCACGTACATGCACACAAACCCCATTCCCTGAGAGCCAGTGCCTGCCTGTCCTACAACAGGAAACAGCGCATCAAAGCTCCCAGGAACTCAGAGTAGCCATGCTTGGTGGGTTCAAGGCAGGATCACTCTGATGGGGAAGAACCTGGCCTTTTAAGGCAATCACCAGGCAACATCAAGGCACTGGAGATCACTGTCAAGAGTCTCATTATAGTTTTCATTTTTTCTTGATCATGGGATTTTTATAACAATAAAGGCGTGTGCAAGGAGGGAAAGGGGTAGGGGAGATGTTAGGGGTGTCACGGTGACTATTGGAAAAGGAGCCTGAGTTCTGGGGTCTCCACCTGCATCACCTCCTAAAACCTAGGATGAGGAGGGACCCAGAGAGAATGTGGGGTCACTCCCCTGTTGCAGGGGAGCTATCTTAGGAAAGGACTATGATTTTAGAAAAATATTCTGGAGTCTCAGAGCCTTTGAAAACTGGGCAAGGGGCTGGGAGCAGCGGCTCATGCCTGTAATCCCAGCACAGAGGGAGACTCCTCCTCAAAAAAAAGAAAAAGAAAAAGGAAAAAAAAAAGAAAATTGGGTGAGGGGTAGAGAGTATTGGTGATTTCCTTATCTGTGTCCCACTTTTCTTCAGCGTATTCTAAACAAAGTAAGATTTTTTTTGTTAATGAATGTTTTTCTGTTTCAGGCAGGCCACAGTGGCTCATGCCTGTAATCCAGCACTCTGGGAGGCTGAGGTGGGCAGATCACCTGAGGTCAGGAGTTTGAGACCAGCCCAGCCAACATGGTGAAAGCCCCTCTCCACTAAAAATACAAAAATTAGTTGGGTGTGGTGGTGTGCACCTGTAAACTCAGATACTTGGGAGGCTGAGGCAGGAGAACTGCTTGTGCTCAGGAGGTGGAGGCTACAGTGAGCCAAGATCGCACCACTGCACTACAGCCTGGGTGACAGAACAAGACCCTGTCTTGTGTTTCATTAATTAATTATGTTTTGCTTTTTATTAATTTTGGAGACAGAGTCTTGCTCTGTAAATAAATTATGGGACCACCAGTGATCAGCTCATGAGCATTACATGACTCATTCCAACTCTACTGCACTCCAGGGAGGTCATGCTGGCAGTCTGAAATTGACCATGGTGAGAATATTTACACCACAGAAAGTGATGGACGTAACAAATTAGGGCTTCCCTCCCTACTGACCCAAAACTGGTTGATACACATTTACCAGCACACCACCAGGTTCAGCCCATGTGATGGGGATACCATGCATGTGTTAGAAGAAAGCGGACCTCAGACCCATTATCGAATGCAGAAGGCAAGGCATGAACCAGCCTGATCTCTCCTTTGCATTTTTATAAGAAGGAATAAACAGGTTAAAAATGTGAGTATATGCAAATGTCTTCATTTTAACAGAAGGGAGGTTAACTGTTTATAGTGTCTCTGACTTTGGGGAGAAGCACTCAGGTGCAGCGGGAGACGACTGGCTTTCACTCCGTATCTTTGATGGACATTTGATTTTCTATAACCTTAGAAAGGTCTCACTCTGTCACCCAGGCTGGAGTGCAGTGGCATGACCTTGGCTTGCTGCAGCCTGGACCTCCTGCGCTCAAGTGATCCTTCTGCCTCAGCCTCCCAAGTAGCTGAGATCCCAGGTACCTGCTGCCAGGCCCAGCTAATTTTTTTGTAGAGATAGCATTTCACTATGTTGCCCAGGCTGGTCTCAAGCTTCTGGGCCCCAAGCAATCCTTCTACCTTGGCCTCCCAAATTGTTGTGATTATAGGCATGAGTCACTGCACCAGCCCATATTTATTTTTTAGTGTCAGTGAGGTTACGTGAGAAGGAAGTTATATCCCATTTTTAGTTTTCTTCCTTGTACCTCTATTAGAACTTCTACACCTTCTAGGGCATCCAAACAACGTGACTTCCTGGGAAGGGGGAGGCTGAGGCGGCCACCCAGCATGAGGGCCTGGGGCTGGGTTACCTGGTGATGATGGCCAGGTGGGGCGGGTTCATGCAGGCCCGCATGAAGAGCACCACGTTCTCGTGCTGCGTCTGCCGGTAGTTCATCACCTCTTTCTTGAAGAGCTTCAGGTGGTCCTGGTTGTGGCCGTCCATCTCCAACAGGCGAATGGCCACCTCGCCATGCCAGCGGCCGCGGTGCACCCGGCCCCAGCGGCCCTGACCGATGGGCTCGCCCAGCTCTACCTGCTCGAAGGGGATGTCCCACTCCTGCAGGTACACACTGGTCTGGCTGGCCTTGCGAGAGATGGGGCCTCGCCAGGGCCGGCGAGAGCTCGGCAAGTCGTCCACCTCGTCCTCGTCGTCTTCTGCCTCTGACTTGCCAGCCTCTGGCTCCTCAGCCTGAAAGGAGAGCAGGGAGGAACAGGCATGGGCAGAAGATCTGGGCTCCATGACTTCTCTTCCCTCTCCTGGAGCCCTTGCCAGGTAAGGGAGGAGAGAGGCATCCTGCTAGGGCACCCAGCTGCTGTGGACAGCGGGCGGCTCACTTAGCATCACTGGACCTCAGTGTCCTCATCCACAATATGTGGCAGTTGCCCCAGTGACCTGAGGCCCTTCGTCCTGCTAATACTCCAAGATCTACCTGTGAGCAACATCTAAGCGTCTAGGGAAGGGCAAGAGCAGCCCTAGCATAGATGAATTTCACTGCACCCATCCTTCTGGAACTCTTGTTTAAACACAGTTTCTGACTCTCCCTGAGCAGGAGTAAATCAGTCTGTTAACATTCTCCAAGCCATAATTCAATGGAGGGATCCAGGCTCAGTTGACACTCATGTTCAAGGTTCAAGGCAGTGGTTCTTGATCCAGGCTACAATCACCTGGGGATCATGGGGAAGACAGGGCTTGGACAAGTGTGCTCCATTACAGTCATCATCATTCCTCCCCGCCATGAACCTCTGCAGTGGGTGCCTGAGACAGCCCTTGCCAGGGCCCAGCACCCACCCTACTCACTCTCAAGCCCCCTGCACATTCTGAGATGGCAAAGGGAGAAAAGAGGGAGGGGCCATCTGTGGACTCATGTGTGTCACCCTCACCTCTGCTTCGTGAGCCTCCAACACGTCTGCTTTTGGCTGGTCGTTGAGCCTAAGAGTAAAACAGGGTTTGTCAAGGAGACCTTGAGGGAGGCCACTCTGCTCTCATCTGGCAGGACTCCCAGGTGAGGTCTGAGACTAAGGTCTTTAATCTGACTCACACCTGGCTAAAGGAAAGGCCACGTGGATACTGCGCGGACAGGCAGGAGGAGGCTGAGAGCCAGGCCTGCCCCTGTGTGGCCTCAGCCTTCCCCAGGCTAACTTGAAGATGGTAGGGGCTGAGAGGTGAGCAGTGATCCCCAAAGCCCCTTTCCAGATGTGACACTGCTGCACAGGGGCTCCGAGCACACCCATAGGACTCAGAATCTGGTGACCTTGACTTGGAGAACTGGCTCTATCACTTCCTAGCTGTGTGACCTTATGTAATTTCTTAACCTCTCTGGGCTGGCTGCATGTTATGATGACATCTACTTTGATACCTACTGCCAGGCTGGATGAGATGCGGGAATGTGAGTTAAGTGCTCAGCATGGCCTGGCAGAGAAAGGGCTCTGTACAGGAGCTATTCTTAGGCTTCTCTAACTCCAAGTGTCCTCTGTCCACCCCTCCGGGTCCCAAGACTGCTCCAGTTTCATATTCGGCCCCACCCAATGTTGACATACTGATAGGAGGCAAATAAAACCCTCTGTGGAGTTCACTGGCCCAGAGGGAGAATGAGCCCCAGGAGTTCTGCATCTGGCTGGCCAGAGGTGGAAGGGTGGTGTGGGAGGTGGCAGGGACGTGGACACAGCCTAGGGATGCCTACCGGGTACTGTCGGCGGCTTCGGGGAGCGGGGCTGCCTGTGCAAAGGCCGAAATGTCTGGAGGAAACACAAAGCAAAGGCAAAGCATGAGATCGCTTCCCTCCCCCAAGAGACACCGCCCTCAAACCCAGCGCCCCGGAGAGGTTGATTCTCCCTGAGCAGCTGCCTCGTGTTTCCCCAGCACTTCCACAAGGACCAGCCTGTGCTGTTCCATGGACCTTGCAAGCACGCAGCCTCCATAGCTCCTGCTTCTGCATACACAGCTCTGTCTCAGCAAGGCGCTCGGGGTGGGTGGGGAGGGTGAGAATTCTCATTACCACCACTCCCCAGTGGCCAAACTGCCCCACACAAGCAAGTGGTAAAAGCAAACTGGGCTCTCATTTACTGGACAGGTGGCCGAAGCTCCTCCTGTTTGGACGCCAGGGCTGCTTGTGACAACCCTTGAAAGTAATGAGACACCCTCACTTTGGCCAGCGAGGCTGTGGCAGGACGCGCAGGTGGCTCATTAGTGACACCTGGTGCCGGGCGCAGCTGCTGGGGATTTCCAGCACAGAGGCCCCAACCCCTTGGCTTCTGGGTATGGGTCACTGTGGAGAAGCTCTCAGGGGAGAGGAGGAAACTCCACATATCAGGGGTCCAGAAGTGGGCAGCTGGGGCTGATCCCTGAGCCTGGGGTGTTCCCAGTTTGCACTGAAAGTCCCACGTCCAGGGACACCAAAACCGAGTTACTCCAGCATGGAACCAAGTGCTACAGGGAGACTGGTGGTCCCAGGGCCGTCATGGGCTGCTCACTCCCCGTTCCTTCTGCAAAAACAGAGACAGGAAGTGGCAGTGGCTGGAGCTATCAGAGGCCTCTCTCCTGCCCGTGTGGACAAAGACCTCCCTCGACCTCCTGCTAGGGCTTTCTTCTGCCTTTGAAGGTCATCCGAACCACAGGCTGTGACATCTCTGGGACCTCACGGACTTGGAGAATCTGATAGAGGCAGTGGGCCTTCTTATCAGGGAAATGCACACATATGCTCGACATCCCGTGCACAATTTCTGGGGATCAGAACCTTAGAAACCTGTACTTATGAGGCCTCCCCTGGACACAGTGTGTCTGCAGACTATCAGTGGGGGCCTGGCCTTTCCACCTATCCAACATGGCTCAAATGTTCCACAGAAGGCAAACACATGCCGAGGGCATGAGGGGAGCAGGAAGGGGGGGGGCTTGGGGAGGAACTGCACCCCAAGAGGGAAGGCAAAATGCCTCTGAAGCCCCATGCTTTTCCTTAAAAGTTAAGAGTGTATCAAACATTCTGCTCCAAAATGTGCCCACGTTTGCTTTAACAGAAATATTTCCTTGCCCTCCCTGTGACATATCTTCAGGGGAAAATGGGAAAACTGCTCTTCTGGGAGAAGAACCATGTCTTCCCAATGTTTTGGGGTAACCCCTGTGTGCGTCCTAGAGCTAGTAACCAGGGGACCACAACAAAAAACGGGTGAAACTGCAGAGGCTGCCCAGCTGCTCAGAGGAAGCCTCCTGGGACGGGTTCTCAGGCTCCTGACTCCTGCCTTGCACACACCCGAGCAATGCCATATGGACGTCTCTAAGGGCTCACAGACGCTGCAAGTCAGCTCCCTGATGGAGCTGGCTTAGGGAATAGAAAAGCCTGGAGTGACCAAAATACTGTGAGACTCAAGACAGTCCTGTTCAAGCCAAGAAAAAAAACAGCTACAGTCTTTGTCTTAAACACCGTTATTCTCATCACCATCAGTTACAGAAAAAAAACACTGATCTCAAACACTTTAGGGGCAGGAATGAAAAGGTTGGTACACAGTAAATGTACAAAACAATCTTTGCAGAAAGAACTCAATGGATTGACTTATTGTAAGGTTTTTCCTTTAAACTTTCTGCAATAAGGAGGCATTTCCAGCAACAGCCAGCAGATGGCACTGTGTGGTAAGGCACAGAAAGGTGACACCCACTAAGTAAGTGAAGCCTGCAGAACTTCCCAAATGGGTTTCCACTTCTGCAAGACAAGGCAGTAGTTTCCCATCATTGTGCAAGGGAGGATATGGTGACAGATGCTCATCGGGCAATAGCAAAAAGTCCTCCCCCCATTCCATAAACCCAGGTTCTGGTCCTGCTTGTGCCATCTCCTGGCAGTGTGACTGTGAAAGAAGTCACCTGCAGTCTCTGTGCCAACGGGATGGATTCCAGGGTCCCTCCCAGAAAGAACTTCTCATGTCAGAGGCCCACCTCCAGGGCACTTGCCCTGCCCGCTTCCCATCCTCCATGGGCAGCCAGCTCTCAGAACAGGAGGAGGGAGACTCAAGCACTTCCAAAGGTACTCAGGTGGGCTGACAGAAGGGGTCACAGCAAGGGGCAGTTAATGGAACCTTGCAAACGACTCACCTGGAAAGATGAACTGCTGTCTATGATGAATGAAGTAGGCAGCTTTAAACAGAAGAGGAGGTGAGTCACACACACAGAATGGCCAACGCAGGAGGGAGGAGAAGAATTGCAGACACCGGCTTGGGAGACAGGGACTTGTTATTGGGCTGGGACAGCCCTGCCCCAGATGGGCCCGGCAAGGACAGGCCAAACCATGCAGGAAGGATGAAAGGAGCTGGGAGAAAGAAAATGGGCCCTGGTATGAGTCTGCAGGACTAAAGGGGCTTGCACTGGAGGATCGGGCATTCCAAGACCCCGTCTCTGGTGACCAGCGCTCTGTGAAATCCATGTGAGCCCAGAAGGGCAAAATGTAATGGGAGAGAAACGGTATTTCTGAAAAGTTTAACAGTGCTATGTGTGGAAGAACAGCCTCCTCCCGAGCCCCGCCTGTACCTCCAGAGTGTCTCAGCCTTACCGCTCCCTCCCACATTGTTTCTTTCTCATGTAGGGAACTGAGAGGGATGCAGCAGGGTTCTGGAAGCTGACAGCATGTCGCAACTTCAATTCTGCCACATAACTAGGCTCTGGGACCTTAGGGAGGTGGCTAACCTCTCCAGCACTGTCAAATGGGGTTGTAAATACAGTCATGTG